AGTGTTTATTCATTTTTCAACATTTCATATGAATTAAATAAATGAAATGGCCGATCAAATATCGACGGGGTCCATGTATCTTTCGGTCATTCGATCTTCATTTCAAATGCAGTATTAGAAAAATGGGAAAATGGGTCAGTTCTTGTTTTTGGTTATGGGGGGGGAAAAGCAATAGCTTCGTTTCACAGTTTCACAAACCACTGATATAACGGACTAACCGACTAACTACCTAACTAACTGACTAACATTTTATTTATTCAAATTTAACATTTTCTATCACTTGCACAGGAAATAAACATGCAGAGGGCATGTATGGTCTCGGAAGCTCAGAAATAGGCAGCAAAATAAACAAATAAATATATAAAAATAAAGACAGGAAAGATTGGGCATGAATGTTGATGAAATGGGCCTAGTCCAGGCATTTTGGGAGACTATATGACATTTTATAGGTGTTCACTGATGTAGCTAATCTATCAGCAAAAAACTGAAGCAATGTGGGGAAGAGACTCTACAGGACCCTTGCTATTTAACAGTGAAATCAAAAACAAAATGAAAGTCACACTGCTCAGTAAGGATGAGAAAAATTAATACTGTAATGTCACATCGTCAGATGTAAACTTGTAGCAGCTGTATTATTGCTCCAGACTTAAGAATTAAAGCTGTGAGCTGTCCTGTGTTCATTTTCTTCCTATAATACTGTGGTAGCTGCTACTTTGGATTCTGCAAAACTCTGACAAACAGGCCTGATTTCTGCAATTTCTGAGCTTCTGGGATCATGAGTGCACTCTGCATGACTATGTCCAGTTAAGGAGATTTTTTTTTATTTGAATAAGTAGAATACGAGCCTTTATTCCATTGTTGTTATTTAATTTTATGATTAGTTTGTGAAACTGTAAAACAAAGCCATTTCTTGATTCTCGTTCATGTCTACAAAATGAACATACGGTTGATTATTTTGATTGGTAAGCATGGGAGAGCCTGAAGCCCTAGTGGCATGCCGCTGATCAAGCTGCGCAATGACTAGTTTTCCGCAAACCCCTCCATTTAAAATAAAATAATAAAACATGAGTCTACCACAGTTAAACATGCTTGAGCTGTGTTTCACATTTTACTATAAAGTTAAAACAACTGTAGAGGTTTGATGACAAATGACAAACCTGACCAACCGCATCTTCATCCGTTCTATTGTTGGGCATAACCAAAAAACAAAAAGCTGCCGTTTTCTTGTTTTTTTACATTTCAACCTGTTTAACCTGTTATCAAAAATCCAGAACTGGGGCACATTCATAATCGAAAAAGTGTGAATGCACATTTTTCATTGTTACACTGAAAGGGCAAAACTAAACATTAACTATTTTCCTGTTTTTCATCATCCGATTATAATTGGGAATCATTTGGCCGTTACGGACACGGACCCAGAAACCAGCTATTCTTCATTTTCTAAAATCACATTAAAATATTCCAAAACAAGAACTGATCTTTTTTAATTTCATCTTTAAAATGCAAATCAAATGACCTGGATAGTCTGTCCTTTTTGATCTTTCTACAACCCCAGTTCAAACAAAGTTGGGACTCTGTAAAATCTAAACAAACGTAAATAAAAACAGAATGCAATAATTTGCAATTTCATAGACCCATATATATATTCTATTGTGAATTAAATACCATATCAGATGTTGAAAGTCAAACATTTCACCATCTCATGAAAAACATTAACTTGCGTAAAAAAAAGTTGGGACAGGGCCATGTCTATCATTGTGCAGCATCCCCTCTTCTTTTAACAACAGTCTGTAAATGTCTGGGAATTAAGGAGACCAATTGCTGTAGTCCTATTCTTGTCTGATGTAGGATTCTAGCTGCTCAACAGTCCTGGGTCTTTTTTGCCAGATTTTTCCTTTCATGATGCGCCAACAGTTTTCTATTAGTGAAAGGTCTGGACTGCAGGAAGGCCAGTTCAGCGCCTGGACTCTTCTTCTGTGAAGCCATGCTGTTGTGATGGATGCAGTATGTGGTTTAGCATTGTCTTGCTGAAATATGCAAGGCCTTCCCTGAAAACGTTGTTGTCTGGATGGGAGCATATGTTGTTCTAAAACCTTTATCTACTGTTCAGCATTGATAGTGCCTTTCCAGACGTGTAAGCTGCCCACACCATAGGCACTAATCCAGCCCCATACCATCAGAGATGCAGGCTTTAAACCGTGCGCTGATAACAAGCTGGATGGTCCCTCTCCTGTTGAGTCTGCAGGACATGGCTTCCGTGGGTTCCAAAAAGAATTTCAAATTTTGATTCATCTGACCACAGTTTTCCATTTTGCCTCAGTGCATTTTAAATCGTGTTGACATATGGCTTCTTGATACAGCTTTAACTTGCATTTGTGGACTACACAGCGAACTGTGTTCACAGACAGTGATTTCTGGAACTGTTCCTGAGCCAATGCAGTGATTTCCAGTACAGAATCATGCCTATTTTTAAAGCAGTGCCGCCTGAGGGCCCGAAGATCATGAGAATCCAATATTGACTGTCGGGCCTGTCCCTTGCTTACAGGGATTTCTCCAGATTCTCTGAATCTTTTGATGATATTATGTACTGCAGATGGTGGGAGTCTTCGCAATTTTACGTTGAGCAACATTTTTCTGAAGTTGTTCCACTATTTAGTTTTTCAGATTGGTGAACGTCTGCCCATCTTTGCTTCTGAGAGACTCTGTCTCTCTAAAATGCTTTTTTTTTTTATATCCAGTCATGCGAGTTAGTTGCAAATTGCTCTTTCAGCTGTTTATTAGTACCACTTACTTTCCCAGCCTTTTGTTGCCCCGTCCTAACTTTGAAATGCACTGCTGCCATCAAGTTCTAAATGAGTTAACATTTTTCATAAAATGGGAAAATGTCTAATTTTCAACAACTGTGTTCTATTGCGAATAAAATATGGGTCTGAGATTTGCAAATCATTGCATTCTCTTTTTATTTATATTTTACACAGCATCCCAACTTTATTGTATTAGGGCTTGTATTTTATTGCCTGGGTTTGCATGTGTTATGACCCTCTCTGTCATAATGTGTTTTCTTCAGTGCAGGGTCTTCTCTCACCCTGCTTTACAGACCCACCACAGGGAGTCGTCTTAAAAAAAAGACGCATCCAGGTGTAGTGGTGGTGCTTTCCATCTGATGCGGTTTCTATTGTGTTCCGGTTCCCTTAACCAGCTGTTGAAAGAACTTTAGCTATAGAGCTATGTCTGTGTAAGAGTTTAAATGTTAGTGTACAGTAAAGTATACTGTAAAGACTGAGCTGAGGTGGCTGCACAGACACATATCTTCTTTTCATCATCTCTTATTCATTTCAAACTGCAGATATTTACACAGCTTGTTGAATTTTAAAAACCTAACATCTGCAAGTGAGCAAAAGAATCAAAATTGGATCAGGCTTATTAAAGCAGATACCCATACTGAATTGGGAGATCCATCAACCATCTTGATACTGCCATACCTTCATGACATTAGTCAATTACCTTTAAAATTGTGATTGGAATGCCATCCTTTGCAGCATCACATTTCCTTCTTAACTCTCACAGATTTTCAATTATTTGATTGTAACTATAAAGTGAGGCAATCAAGGTTGATATTTTAACATGATTTTTCTGTGCTCCTAAAAAGGCCAAACAACAATTGCCTTTCAAACATTACATGGCCAAAAATATGTGCACACCCAATCTGTAAATGTTTGCTGAGCACCCAAGGGCATTCATATGGACTTGGTCGTGCCCATCTGCTGTAAAGGCCTCCAGACTTCTAGGAAGACTTTCCACTAGATTTTGGAGCATGGCTGCAGAGATTCTAATTCACCCCAAGCATATTAGATTGGATTGAGGTCAACACTCTGTGCTGGCCAAGTTCCACACCAAACTCAGCAACCCATTTCTTTATAGACCTTGCTTTATGCGCAGGGCACAATCAGAGGGAAACAGAAAAGGGCCTTCCCCAAACTCTTGTCACGAAGTTGGAAGTACACAGTTTTCCAGAATGTTGCTGTACGCTGTAGCATTAATATTTCTCTTCACTGAAAGAAAGATGCCCACCCTAAATCATCACACAGTGCAAGATCATATGGTCTCAATAATTATAGACTGGATTATGTAAATTATGACCTGCAGGATTTGTGCTCATGTTACTTCCAGGACAGTCTGGAACTTGGTTGAGTGCTACAAACAAGGACAAACAATTTATATGTCCTCACGCACTTCAGCAGTTGACTGTCCCATTATGTGAGTTTGTGATGCTACCACTTTGCGCCTGAGCTGCTGATGCTCCTAGATTTTTCCACTTCACAAAAAAAAGGACTTATAGTGGACTAGAGAGGAAGGACGGAAATTTGACAAACGTGTTGGAAAGGTGGTGTCCTATGTTAGAACTTCAGTTAGCTGTGACTGTTGCTGACACAGCTGAACACACTAATTACTAGGTGTCTGCATACTTTTGGCCATGTACATTATCAGACCAAAATAAACTATAAAGCATTGTAATATAAGCATTTACAGGTTTAATTAATGTAAACATGAACAGGTTTAATGCAGAAACCTTCACTATGTGAGTAGATTTTGTAAATACCACTGCTATGATAATGCAACTTTGGTTAGCGTCCCTATTTTAATTTCATCAAAAAGAAGGAAAAAAAAAAGAAACACCAGTTATCCACAACTGAAGCATGCCAACAATATTTGCACAGCTCACAACAAACCCTTTGTGTAGATAAATAAAATTCAAGTCACACTTTTTCTAGGCAAATTGAAGATTAACGTGTAATTTCACATGCACATAGTTAGATGAAAAAAACACAGTGTTAATTGTTACACCATTTGACATTTAAATGCTTATTAAACCAAACATTTTATTGAAAGTTGAATATATGAAATTATTCATAAAAGACATATAAATGTCAAAATTTTAGCAATGTAGCAAATGTTTGTTTGTACTTAAGTTTGGAAAGAATATCAAACATCAAACTTACTTCCTTGTGGTCCATAAAACTTCACTACAAATTCATTAAGTCCACTCAGGATTGTGACTTCATGTTTACTCTCAATGCTGAATGCCAGAGGTTAAGGTCGATCCAAAATATCTGTCAAAAAATTATATTAAACAAGTTTTTTCTTCCAAAATCTGCCTTCATGTAGACAGGTTAAACAAGAAGAAATTCAAATTTTCAATGAAACTAAAATGCCAAAATATTAGACAGAAGTAGTTAAAAACAACTGAATGTTTAGTTGAATGTTTGTGGTCAGACTGAATTCAAATCTACACTACAAAAGGGTCTTGCAAAAAGAAAACAGCTCTCAAACTAATGTAAAATAATTTATATAGATGTCTGTGACAGTAACCTGCTTACTACAGTGCACTGCTTACTACGGGTGTGTGTGTGTGGGGGGGGGGTGGCAGTTAACTTCACTACTTATTACGTTGCACATATTAACATTTGTAATTATTAGTTTCAACTCAATTTCAATGTCTCTGTATACAGTTTTCCTGAATAGTTGTCACAAATCAGCTTTAAAGAAATCTGGCTCCAAGAAGACCCTTGTGAGTAAGCCAAGTGCAAAAGTGGTAGAGCAAGAGAAAAAAAAAACCCTCTCTGGTAAAACAATAACACAATAAACAATACATTGCAATGTGATATTACAATACTTGGCCTATCAGAATTTTTTAAAAATCATCAGTGATGACATTGTAACATAGAGTCAGAGTTAAGACCAGGACTTTGTAGTAACTGGGAAAAATCCCAGATCTTTCAACCGCACTGTACATCCATTTGTATTATTAAATGAAATTATAGTAATAACAGTACTCCAATCTGCCCTCATTGGACATTTGAACATCAATAAACAAATAATACCCAGTTATAGGTAAACTATAATGGAAAAGAACAATTCTCAACTGGCAGCAAACAGAGTTTATTTAAACATGTAGAGATGCCTGAAGATATTCAATGATGATAGAGAAAAGTTCAATTTCCAATTACCTCAGACGAAAGCATCACACTTAGCTGGCCGAGAAAACAATTTCAAAAAGAAGACTGAGTCAAGATTATGTTACGTTCATTTATAGTCTCAAGACCAAATCCAGACTCATGCACTACAACACTAGCAACCCCCTGGCAATGTTTAAAAGTCGTAGATAGATGTCACAGCAATGCAGGCTTTCATTGTCCTGAGACAAAACAATGGAACAGAACATCAGCGGTGGTTTTCAGAAAAATCTGCATGACAGTGCAGCTAACAAAACAGAAGAACCTTACAGAACAGTCTAAAAACAATTGCTACAGGGAGATGCACTCGAAAGAGGCCCCGAATATTCTGCAATAACTCTCGCTAGGACGAAGCAATCTGAACGAAACAACATGCAATGTGCTCCTCAGTACATGGAGCTTCGAACAAGCTGGGATACCCCTGCGTCAGAGTGATAAGGTAGGCGCTGGACAGTCGTTGCATCGTTTAACCTCCGTTTACAACATCTGGATGCATACCCCTGTACCCCTTCATGTGTCTGGCAGAAAACGGAGATCACTTCCAGCATCACATGTAATGCAATCGATTACACATACGTCAAGGTATGCAGCGTATTTTTTTGGTTCAGACTGCTTCATCCTAACAGGAGTTACAACAGAATATTTGGGGCCTCTTTGGAGTTAAACTCCCTGTACAATGAAAGTGCATTAACAGTAGAGATTTAAAATTGCAGGGTCGCTACAGCAGCTAGAGCTACAGCTTCCCCATCATGCAAGATTCACGGTTCTCGCAAAAATTCCAGTTAGTCTGAAAGTGCAGTGCGGGGGGAATTACACTTTTGCAGGGTGCACTTTCTGCTTGGACAAATTTTTAAATGAACCTCAGATGCTGAAAAAGGTTTAAAAATGAAAAATAATCATCTTATGCATGCATATTGATCTAGGGTCTAACAGCTGGCAACCCGTTATGTTTCTGAAAGCAGCGGACCAGCGTAAACACAGCCGCACACAATGGCAACACTCCACAACGTAGAACTTGGAGTTTCTATCCAAATCAGAGTATACAACATCTGCACCCTTTCTATTTTTTGATGTACACAACAAGGTCTGCGATGGCCCAGCAGACATAAATTGTCTCTTTTACGTCACTTTTGTCAAGCGACACGTGTGGTCTGGACTATAAATTGGCCTTTATGGTCATGTCTGGTCAGAAATCTAACTTTCATTACTATGGTCAATGTATGTAGCTTGACTTTCTATTCATAGTAGCAGCTGTAGTGTTTTCATTGTGAGTAAGCACCCTGACTATATTTGACCCCTTTTAACAAAGCAAAAGCAAATAATAAACAATATAAGAACATATAATAAATTACCCTTAAGTGATCAGTTGGTTGCCTTCATTTAGATTTCATCTAAAGACCATGAACTAGAGCTGGGCGATATGGCCAAAAATCTTATCACGATAAAAAATTTTCATATCATTCGATATCAATACATATCGCGATAAATGTCAAATTATTATTTCTTGCAAGTTTTAAGGCTGATTTTTGCTCCTGAGTGGTCAGTTCCTGTTTTAAACTATCATTTATGGTCAGAACATGACAAACCCTTGTCAAACAGAAGAAAATTTCACAAATCTGTGTCAGGAGAGTGGGAGAAAGTGTCTGGCTGTTTTTACCAGCCGGAAAAGCACGGCCGCAATTTTTGTAAGAGTCATAATTTAAGAAAGAAAACCAATTGCTTTTGGCTGTCTGGTGACCAGTGCTAGGCTACTTGGTTACAAGTGCTAAACTGTTTAGTTTCTCAACAACATCAATTTAGTACGAACAGCAAACATTAGCTGGCTCAGTACATCAGTGATGGATCACGCCGCCACAGTATTCAAACACCAGCTGGCAGACGACTGGATTTCTCTATTCTATCATAGTAGTTTGAGGGGTAAACCACAAAATATCTGACACTCGCTGTGTAAAAGCATTAACTGCAGCGTGAATCTCACACCAGACAAACAGAGTCCTCCTTTTAGTTTTATTTAAACTGAAAACAGGTCTTTTTTTGTCTTGTTTGATCTACAGTATCATTAAGTCGCCGTGCTGTGCGAGTGACGGAGCGCTGCTTCAAGTTAGCCAGCTCCTAAAAACAGCTAGCCTAGAAAGATAGCGCTCTCCCGCTTTCCAATGCCTCACAGCTTCCTCAGTTTACTTTCGTTTAAATCAGGGCTGTAACTTGCATGAACCCACTTCTTTCTTTCACTTTCGTTGCTTGGGAATGCACTAACACTAAAATATGACTGCTGTATGAGTGCTGTAGTTAACTGCGCTGTCATTGTGAAAATCAGACGTGATTTAACGCTGCTAAAGCTTGTTAGGATGTACGGAAAGAGGTGAGTTCACTGTAGGACAGTACAGTTACACCACTTATCTTGTCACTCACACTTGGTCACAGATCGCCGGTCGCTCCACTTAAACGGGGAAAATATATAATATAGTTTTAATTTTTACCCGATTTTCTCCCCAATTTAGTCGTCTCCAATTCCACCCGCTAGTTAGGACTCCCCCAATCACACGATGCTATCAACGCTAGGAGGGTGAAGGCTAACACAGGCTTCCTCCGAGACCTGTGAAGCCAACCACCGCTTCTTTTTCGAACTGCCGCTCACGCAACGTCACTGGACAGCCGAACGCGCTCGGAGGAAAGCGCCAACCGCCAGATCTGTTACGTCAGCTAACAGACGCCTGCGCTGACTAGCATCGCGCTGAGTGATGGGGGGAGAAGGAGGGGCCATCCCACCCACCCAGAGAGAGTGAGGCCAATTGTGCTCTCTCGGACTCCCGGCTACGGATGGCTGTAGCATCACCAGGGATCGAACTCGCGATCTCCTGATGATAGGGCCAACGCTTAGACGGTTGCGCCACTCGGGAGCCCTATAATATAGTTTTAGATGTTGCTAAACTATATTTGGTGACTTCTTTTACTCGTCGCCCCCCAGTCATGTCGAAAAACTCGGATGTGTGCCCCCTCATGGCGAAAGCAGAGTAGTGTCGCTTTCCTTGCAGTAGAAAACGCCTCGGCTGTCGCTAGAACGTGGACGTGTGAGAATGATGTATTATATTGAAAATTTATCGAACATTTCTTATCGCTCTATCGAAAGTTATATCGCAATAATTATCGTTGTCGTTTCATCGCCCAGCCCTACCATGAACTTTCTCTATTTAAATGAAATTCCTTTCATTTTTGTACAGCCAATTAGGTGGCTAAAAATTACCTTTCATTCAGCATGATAAATGCTTATTATGCATTTTTTTTCTATTCGGTCACAGGCAACACAAAACCAATTTGTGAATTTACAGTAGCAGGTTATTAGCCACGTAGAAGGTTATATACTGAGTACTTAAACACACCATTATTTATCTCCAGTTTTGACCACTTTTTTATTAAAGAAATGGGACTGTCGCAAGTTGTAGCAGCTCCTTGGAGGAGGATAAGATCCCTATATGGTTTAAAAATAGGGCTGCATAATATGAACATGAAATACAATGTGCAATAATGCAATAATGTTGTTGAATATTACAAAGACTACATAAAGTATAATAAAGCATAATTAAAATATACAATCAGTATATGATCACTATGAGTGTGTGACACATGCGCAACAATTATACAAACCCTGATTTCTGCCTAATTTGTGATTTTTTTTGTAGTGTAATTAAACTAATTTTCCCGATTCATTTTTATTTAGCCTACTTTTTTTCCATTTTTTCACGGTAGTTTTGAGGTTAAACCAATACAATTTCAACTATTTTTTCAAGTTTATAAACAGCAGACACGGTAACAGCTAAATGCATTTAATATCTGTGTATTTTGGATATACATACTTTACTGTTGTTCCCTGACTAAAAAGAACACTAACGTCCTCAAAAAAATCAGTTTCTGTGCTTACACTAGAATGCTAAGTACAATATAAAATGAAATACTTCTAGCAAAAAAACAGCACAACTGCAAGTATATTTTGACTAAGACTGTTACAAGAAGTCACCATTCTCTGAACAATGTTTTCAACATATTCAAAAAAATATATTGCAAA